AGAGGAGGACCTTCTGATAAAACCTTAAGGATTCCCGTATGTATTCCTTCATGACCTGATTTTCTTTCTCAGAATGCGGGTAGACCTTACCCCTACGGGGCATAGTACCAGGTAACAGATCTATGGCACAGTCATAATCGCGGTGTGGAGGTAGCTTATCAGCCTCCCTTTTTTCAAAAACTAATGCAAGGTCTGCATACACAGAGGGGATAGAAACAGAAAGTGGTTTAGCTGTGGGCACATTGAGTAAACAAACAGAATGTATACAGGCCATACAGTCTTGTTGACAAGATTCCCCCCAGGAGAGTATATCTAAACAACCCCAATCAAGTACTGGGTTGTGTTTAACTAACCAGGGAAAATCCAGAACGATGGAAGCTGTAGGGGAGTTAATTATTTGGAAGGTTAACCTTTCCAAGGCACCCACAGTCATAACCATTTCTTGGGTTTCATGGGTCACCAGAGGTTTTTCAAGTGGTCTACCATCTATGGCCTCAACGGCCAAGGGTGTGGCCTTTTGGATCAGAGTAAAGGCTGTAGTTTTGGCAAAGTTCTCATCCATAAGGTTGTCTGCAGCACCTGAATCGATCAACGCTTTGGTTGTTATAGTGGTTTGATTGACCTCTAGGCCTTAGGTGCTGAAGTTTCCCTGCAAATTAGGACAGTTTCTTCAGAGATGCCCCCTCTTTCCACAATAAAGGCATAACCCATCCCTTCTGCGATACATTCTTTCAGCTTCAGTTAACCCTATAGCACCCAATTGCATGGGTTCGGGAGATGGTTGATTAGGGGGAGGTAATGCTAGTAATGCAGTACTGGGTAAAGCAGGTGGCCCCTGTGTATTCATCCTTCTTTGACTACGCCTCTCTCTAATACGGTTGTCAATAAGAATTATATAATCTATTACATCATCCAGAAGAACAGGCAATTCCCTGGATGCTATTTCATCTAGTATGTAAGCAGCCAAACCCTCCTCAAAGGCTGTTACGAGGGCGTCGTTATTACAAACCACTTCAGCTGCTAGAGTGCGGAATTCAATAGTATAATCCGCTACTGATCTATTACCTTGTCGGACCCTAAGCAGAGCTTTGCCAGCAGAAGCAACCCTACCAGGTTGATCAAATGTACGTTTGAAAGCTGTCAAAAATTCTGCAAAGGACATTGGGGACGTATTCTCCCACATGGGATTAGCCCATGCTAAAGCTTTCAAGTGGTTAATTAAAAAAGCTATTTTGGTTCTATCAGTGGGGTAGGAAAGAGGATTCATCACCAAATGAATATCAATTTGGTTGAGGAAACCACAACACAATGCTGGATCACCGCTATAGCGCTGTGGTGGCGTCATGTGAACCACGTGACCAGGAACGGGTACTGGATCGGGAATGTGTTCTGGCACAGCAGCAACAGCTTCTTGAACGGCAGGTTGCAAGTGGGCAGTACGAGCCAGTGTGGTTTGTAAAGCCTGGACAAACTGATCCATACGGTGGTCTAAACCGTCCATTCTAGCCTCCTGATTCACTAACAGCTGTGGAATGTCAGCAGGTTCCATGGTGGCCCTGTTGTAATGTCACAATTCGGGAACCTAACACGCTAACAGGTCACAGAGAGGAAGGGTGCTATACCGGTCCTTAGAGTGGCCGGGTTAAAGCACACTAAGAATAGTCAGGAGACAAGCCAAGTAAAGGGAGCCAGAAAACAGGAGAACGAGAAACAAGCCGAGGTCAAAGGAATGGAGAATACAGGAGAATCGAAATAACAAGCCAAATAATCGGTAACCAGAGAGAAACAAGAGCAAACTGCACTACAGGTATCACAAGACCACAACAGGGCACTGAGAGACAGGAAAGGTAAGTATATAAATCTTTTGCTTAATTCTGATTGGATAACTTCCAATCAGAATTAACAATCACACGTGGGATATATCTACACGTCCCACTGTGATTATGGTATTGTTGCTTTAACGCAGGTTCACGTGACTGACCCCGGCGTTCGCATAAATGCACGGGCTCCCAGCGTGCAGCGTTATACATGCTGCCACTGGGAGGTGAGGAGGAGGACACGAGCGGCGCATATGGCAGTGAGGACGCTGCTCGCCGACAGGTAGGGGAAGGGGAGACCGCGGGTGGCGAAGGATTGAGGGTGAGTGCTGCAAGTGGATTACAGCCTCCCCTCACAGCCGCCTGCGGAGCCCTGACACAGTCATTCAAGAGTGGCTTGGAGGGTGGGTTCCTGCACCAGCATAGGCCAGGTACACAATTGTCCAGCCAGGGCACAGTTCTAGAGGAAGCTGAAAACAGGAAAACAGTAATCTCTAGAGAAGTAGCGAAATGTGCTGAATCGTGGATTTCGTATTTTACTACTGCTTTTTATTTAATATTTGTCTTATCTTTGAAGATTGTCTGAATATTGCTGTTTGGTTTGTGGCACAGCCCTTTTTTTTTTCTTTCTACTAATAAGAACAGATCACCATATAGAATTTAATTTAATTATGTATAAGGGTATTTTCACCATTGACAATGGCAATGTACTGATTGACAGAAACATAACTGAGTGACAGAAACATAATTATGATTGCCAGCTCTTGTGCAGGGCCTAGAAACGTGACCTGGATTTGAATTGGTTACAATCCGATATAGAAAATATAGATATGGATGCCAGAATTACTAACATTTATATCAGAACATAGGAAAACAGTAATCTCTAGAGAAGTAGCGAAATGTGCTGAATCGTGGATTTGCTGACTGAAACATAACTTGCAACAGTTGTGTTGTGTTGTGTGAAATGTTGCTGCAAGATTCAGCAAGTGATGGGAACACATATGACAATAGATAAAGTAAGATGTATCGGAGTTACTAGCATTAGTCCCTTCAATAGCTCTGCTAGTTTAACAAATAATTAGGTTCCCTATCTGTGCATTTGAGGGCACCTTTCATTAGCTATGACAACTAGTGATGTCCCGAACGGTTCGCTGGCGAATAGTTCCCGGTGAACATCGCTTGTTCGCGTTTGCCGCGGACGGCGAACATATGCGCTGTTCGGTCCGCCCCCTATTTGTCATCATTGAGTAAACTTTGACCCTGTACCTCACAGTCAGTAGACACATTCCAGCCAATCAGCAGAAGACGCTCCCTCCTAGACTCTCCCACCTCCTGGACAGCATCCATTTTACATTCATTGTGAAGCTGCATTCTTAGTGAGAGGAGGGACAGTGTAGCTGCTGCTGATTTGATAGGGAAATTGATAGTATTCAGTGTCCACTACAGTCCTGAAGGACTCATATGATCTCTGCTGTAAGGACAGCACCCCAAAAAGCCTTTTTTAGGGCTAGAACATCAGTCTGCATATACTGTGCCCACTTGCCCAGTGCCACCACTCACTCACTGGTGTCCCAATAGCTTGCATTTACAAAAACAAAACTTTTTTGACTGTAATATAATAGCAGTCAGTTTCCTTCATGAGTGTGCGTTTCAGGGCCTGCCCAGTGCCACCACTCACTCACTGGTGTCCCAATAGCTTGTATTTAACAAAAACAAAACTTTTTTGACTGTAATATAATAGCAGTCAGTTTCCTTCACAAGTGTGCGTTTCAGGGCCTGCCCAGTGCCACCACTCACTCACTGGTGTCACTGGCTATTGAGCTTGCATTTAAAAACCAAAAACTTTTTTCACTGTTATAGATTGAATAGCAGTTAGTTATCTTCAAGCAGGTGTGTTACGCTAACAGTGGATACGGTGACCAGTGCCACCAATTAGATCTGGTGACACAAAGCTTGGATTTAAAAAAACAAAAACACTTTTTTCACTGTTATAGATTGAATAGCAGTCAGTGTCCTTAAAGCGGGTGTGTTACGCTAACAGTGGATACGGTGACCAGTGCCACCACTTATATCTGGTGTCACAATAGCTTGCATTTAACAAAAAAAAAACACTTTTTGGACTGTAATATAATAGCAGTCAGTTTCCTTCATGAGTGTGCGTTTCAGGGCCTGCCAGGGCACAGTGTCACGACAGTGCAACTCATATCTGGTGTAACAGTAGTGTACATTTAAAAAAAAAAAATGCAATTTTGACTGTAATAGATTGAATAGCAGTTAGTTGTCTGCCAGCGTGTGTGTCAGGATCACAGCGTATAGTGTGCCCACTTGCCCAGTGACATGAGTAGCTCGGCATCCAACCTTGTGCAAATGGGGTCTTTCATGCTGTCGTGCCTGTTGAGGGACCCTCGTATAAAAAGGCTGAAGGAGAACAACCTGTACTGGGTGTCCACGCTACTAGACCCCCGGTATAAGCAGAAAGTGCCTGAAATGTTACCGAATTACGGCAAGTCGGAAAGGATGCAGCAGTTCCAAAATCAATTAAAAAGTATGCTTTACACAGCGTATAAGGGTGATGTCACAGCACAACAGGAATCTAACAGGGGAAGAGGTGAAAGTAATCCTCCTCCTCGCACGACCACGCCGGCAAGGACAGGATGCTTTACAGACGTGTTGTTGATGGAGGACATGCAGAGCTTTTTAAGTTCTACGCATCGCCACAGCCCTTCGCGGTCCACCCTCAGAGAATGACTCGACCGACAGGTAGCAGACTACCTCGCCTTAACTGCAGATATCGACACTCTGAGGAGCGATGAACCCCTTGACCACTTGGTGTGCAGGCTTGACCTGTGGCCTGAGCTATCCCAATTTGCGATAGAACTTCTGGCCTGCCCCGCTTCAAGTGTCCTGTCAGAAAGCACCTTCAGAGGTATTGTCACTGAGAAGAGAAGTCGCCTAGGTCGAAAGTGTCTAGATTACCTCACCTTTATTAAGATGAATGAGGGATGGATCCCGAATGAAACTGACAGTGGGTGATACATTTGACTAAAAAAGGCCTGATGAGGGGGACGTAACAGGGTGTCGCGGCTGCCGGCCCACCGCGTGATATTTAAATCCCTAGCTCACCCCAGTACCTTGCCCTGTCGTGGTTTCCTGTTCCTGGTTTCCTGAGAGTGCTTTATCATTGTGAATCTGATTTCCTGGTATCTTGATCTTGGCTTTTCCCTGGTTATTCTGAATTCTGGTTTCCCTGACTTGGCTTGTGTAAACGGTATTGTGTATTTTCTGTCTTCCTTGACCTCGGCTTTCCCTTTGACCATTCTCTGTCTCTAGCATATTAGTCCGGCCATTCTAAGGTCTGGTTTACACTCTGTCCTTTTATTTTCCTTCTCTTGCCTATGTATATGTTTACATAGTTTCTGCGTGCTGGACCACACTAGTAGTCGTGACATTGGGATTAAACAGATAAGAATAGTACTACTTAACACACCACTCCCATCTGGTGGCACATTAGATTGCACGCGCAGTGCCCCAAATTTGAAGTAGGAGGACCGACCAAGCATCTTTTTCCATCTCCCGGTTCCTAAAATCGATGCCATATACATGTCCCCTGATAGGGGACGTAACAGGGATTAAAATGATAGGTATAGTACTACTTAACACACCTTATAATAATGCAGAGAGAGGCAATGCAGAGAGAGGAGTCTGAAGAAGAGGAGTCAGAGGAGGAAGGTGGCTTTGAGGAGGTGGAAGACCAAACACAGCAGGCGTCCCAGGGGGCTTGTTGTCACCTTTTGGGGACCCTTGGTGTTGTACATGGCTGGGTGGAGGAAGAGACCTTCAATGACATCAGTGAGGACAAGGAACGGGACATGGCTAGCTTGGTATCCAACCTTGTGCAAATGGGGAGTTTGCGGTTGTGCAAATGGACTGTTTGCGGTTGTTTGCGGTGCGTTAAACGGGGAGTTTGGTCTGTCACTGTGAAGCGGGCGTAACCCTTACACTACCTGATCGATACAACATCATACCTGATGTTTTAAAGCACGTTATTCCAAACAATTTAGGAATGTTAGGTGATTTATGCCCTTTATGGATTAAAACCAGACTCTGCATCAACTATGTAATTTTCCATGGGAGTTTTGCCATGGATCCCCCTCCAGCATGCCACAGTCCAGGTGTTACTCCCCTTGAAACAACTTTTCCATCACTATTGTGGCCAGAAAGAGTCCCTGTGGGTTTTAAAATTCTCCTGCCTATTGAAGTCTATGGCGGTACGCCTGGTTCGCGAACATTTGCGGAAGTTTGCGTTCGCCGTTCTCAAACCGAAAATGTTATGTTCGCGACATCACTAATGACGACTGCTAAGATATGCCAACACCCTTACGAAAAGATTAAAATTATGCTAGCAATCGAGCATAGTGGATTCTATCTGTGAATGAATTGTATAACTGCTGCTCCTTCCTGCAGCCATGTAACTTCTGTCGGAGGATACCACTGAGCCCCTGACGCATGCCTTTCACCACCAGGCTCATTGGAAGGGAACCGGCTTTGGTAAGTAGCCGGTATAAATCGGAGGAGATAACTTCTGATAGGTCCAATTCGAATTTGCTTCAAAGAAGGGGTAGACCAATCAGTCTATGTAGATATGACATCATTCCTTCATGATTTTTCATTTCGGATAGTTTGGACTAATTAGTGATTACTTGTAAAAGAGTCAATTCATGTCTGAGAGGCAATAGCTTAGCCTCTTAGAAATGAGAATTTTAATTATAGTTTTGATTATAATTTCAGACTTTGTGATTTATCAAAATGCCTTGAGATCAGGGCCGGCGCTACCTGTAAGGCGACCTAGGCAGCCACCTAGGGCGCACCTTAGCAGGGGGCGCCAGATCCCTGGCCCGGAATCACCCTTGCGGCTCCTCATGCTGTGCCGCCTGAGCACTTTTACACCTCTGGTTCCTGTACCCGGCCGCCGGGAGACTGACAGGAAGTGCTCACTGAGGGGGAGGGAGAGTAAGGAACACAGGAGGGGAGTAAGGAACACAGGAGGGGGAGGGGGAGTAAGGAACACAGGGGGGGGAGTAAGGTACACAGGGGAAGAGGAGCGGAAGGACCATGAGGGAGGGGTGGAGGGTGAGTAAGGATCGGGGAGGGGAGTAAGGAATACAGGAGGGGAGGGGGTAAGGACCACGAGGATGGGGGTAAGGACCACGAGGGATGGGGGGGGACCATGAGGGGAGGGGGGTAAGGACCACGAGGGATGGGGGTGACCACGGAGGGGGGGGTAAGCACCACCAGGAGGGGGGTAAGGCCACTGGGGAAGAGGGGGGTAAGGGCCACTGGGGAAGAGGGGGAGTAAGGACCACTGGGGGAAGAGGGGGGAGTAAGGACCACTGGGGGAAGAGGGGGGAGGGACCACAGGGGGAGGGGGAGTAAGGACCACTGGCGGAGGAGAGAGATGGGGCGAGTAAGGACCACTGGGGGAGGAATGGGGGGAGTAAGAACCACTGGGAGAGAAGGGGGGGAGTAAGAACCACTGGGAGAGGAGGGGGAGGGACCCTGGAGAAGGGGGGTGAAGGACCACAGGGGAGGGAGGTGGGGAGTAAGGACCACTGAGGGAGGAGGGGTTGGTCCACTAAGTGGTTTGGGAGAGGGAGGACCACTAAGGGGGGAAAGGACCACCAAAGGGGGGTAAGTAGGGAGGACCACTAAAGGGGGGGAGAAAGAGGATAATGACCACTGAGGGGGGGAGATTATCACTAAGGGAGTGGGGGGAGTAGGGGGATGTCTATTAAGGGGTCTGGGAGAGGGAGGACCACTAAGGGGAAGGATGGAGGACCACTAAGGGGGAGAGGGGGGAGTGAGAAGACCACCAAGGGGGGCTACAGGGGGCCAGGGGAGAGCACTAAGGGACAGAAGGGGAGAAGACGGAGGGACAGGAGGGAAGGGGAAATCGATAATTGACGGGGGGGGGGGAGAGAGGATTAGTGTCACATAATATTGTTCCAACAGTGAGTTTTATGAGTCGATTGTTGCAATTTGGGCATTAGAGTTTCAATGTCTAAGAGTTAATTGGATATCTGAGAGGCATTTGCCTACCCCTATTGCCAGCGAGAAAAGGTTTATTTTCTTATTCTGACTTAACATTTATTAGAAGTGCATTGAAATGCGATTTAAAGTAAATGTTAGTTAAAGATAATGTTGCAATAAAATATTGTTGGGTATATTGAGAAATGTTATAAATGTCATGGTAAGTTTAACCCCTTAAGGACACATGACATGTGTGACATGTCATGATTCCCTTTTATTCCAGAAGTTTGGTCCTAAGGGGTTAATAAATCGATTACCGCTAATTTGTCATCCGATCGATGTTGGGGAAATTGTTGTTAGAACAGATTTATCATTGATCATATATGTTCAGTTTTAGCAAATTCTCACACAATAATTCCGTCCAGCAATGACTATGTGTTTGACCCGATAGCTTTAGACATTGTTTCCAAAGGCTTTCATTGTAGTGAAAGCTATTGTGTTTTTCTAATAATTTTTATAGGGTACTTTTTTAACCCTATTGCACCTTGCTTAGTATGGTTTCAATGCTTTTAAAATATAATAGTAATGACAAAAAACAATAAATAACAAATAAAATAAAAATAGAAAAATGATAAATATCAGTGTCCCCAAAAAGAGAGAAAAAAAAATCTGAAAAAAATTATACTTCTGTTTAGTCTGTGGAAAGGCTGGTCAGATGAGATATATCAACATACCATTTTATTAGGTGAATATTTTTATTATTTATTAGGAGACAAATGGAAAGTTACTGAAATTCTTTTTAACGTAACAGATCGTATCTATATTCTTTGAGCATTAATGTGTGTTATTTAAATGTTGTTTCTTTTTGATACTTAATTGTTGTAGGTGTCACTGTAAGAACTGTGATTCAACATATTGCTGACATTTTTGTTCTATATTGTATTGCAAGCATGTCAAACTCAAAGGCTAACACCGGGCAAATAAACAAGGTTTAACCCCTTAAGGACTGGACTGTTTTTGCGATGTTGTACATTTGCGACCAGGCATATTTTTACACTTTTGTGGTTTTTGTGTTTAGCTGTAATTTTCCGCTCTCTCATTTACTGTTCCCATACAAATTATATATTGTTTTTTTCAGGACAAAAGGGGCTTTCTTTACATACCATTATTTATATAATCTCATGTATTTTAATTTAAAAAAAATAAAAAAAATATGATGAAAAATTGAAAAAAATAATTTTTTTTTACTTTTACTTGAAAAATCTTTCACTCATCTACAAAAGCGAATGAAAACAACTGTTAAATAGATTCAAAATTTTGTCCTGAGTTTAAAAATTCCCAGTGTTTATGTGCTTTTTTGCTTTTTTTGCAAGTTATAGGGCTATAGGTACAAGTAGGATATTGCGGTTTCAAAACATACATTTTTAAAATTTATCAATAGTGACATTGTAATACTATTATCTGTCATAAATATCTGAATAACACCCCACATGTACATATTTTTTTTAAAGTAGACAACCCAGGATATTCAGTATGAGGTATGTCCAGTCTTTTTTAGTAGCCACTTAGTCGAAAACACTGGACAAAGTTAGCATTGTTTGTGTGTGAAAAAAGTAAAAAAACTAAATTGAACGCTAATTTTGGCCAGTGTTTGTGACTAAGTGGTTACTAAAAAAGACTGGACATACCCCATTTGCAATACCTTGGGTTGTCTTCTTTTGCAAATGGTATGCCATCATGGGGGTAATTCTCATTCCTGGGCCACCATACGCTCTCAAAGGCAACGTAACCAACCTGGCCACTTTCAATGTAAAAATATTTGACCCATATATTTGACCCTGTAACTTTCAAAAATGCTATAAAACATGTACATGGCTGATTTACTCAGGAGACTTCGCTGAATACAAATATTAGTGTTTAAAAACTGGAAAACGTATCACAACAATTATATCATCAGTAAAAGTGCTGTTTGTGTGTGAAAAATGCAAAAAAACGTCACTTTCACTGACAATACCATCGCTGTGATATGTTTTACTGTTTTGAATCACTAATATCTTTGCTCAGCGAAGTCTCCCGAGTAAAACAGTACCCTCCATGTACAGGTGTTAGGGTGTCGTAGAACGTTACAGGGTAAAATACAGTGCCAGCAAATTAAATTCTCCGGACTTTCGGCCTGGGTTGGCAGGCAGGTCTCTCAAATTGCAATCAATAAAATTACTTAATTATGTAATAATATTACATAAATACACACGTAGAATTTAAATATATATGCATATTTATATATTTGAAGTCTACGTGTATGTTTATATAATTATTTATGTAATTTTGTATATGGACATATGTATATTTCGTATTATTTTTATTTATTTATATATACATAGATATATATACAAATTCATTCTAAGTGTATTTTGATAT